GAGAGAGAAACATTGATCAAATGCCTCCTGCACACCCCCTACTGGGGATGTGCCTGCAACCAAGGTACATGCCCTTGACCAGAATCGACCCTGGGACCCTTCAGTCTGCAGGCCAACACTCTATCCACTGAGCCAAACCAGTCAGGGCAGCCAAGATCATTTTTACAACTGCACTAGTCATCAGCTTTGCCTATGGCCTGTCACTGAGCCGGAGAGGCTAGATTAGGAGGGAAGAAGATGGAAAGAGGTAGATGGCCATCCCAAGAGCAGAACAGCCTGAGGAAATTCCAACCTGGCACAGCACACTCAAGGAATATATGATGGAAACTTTGGTCACTTGTTCACAGTTTAGAGCTGGCTCTAAGACTTTTTTTTAATCCTATTTTTACTTGGGGCAGGTTCATGTCTTCCTACAGAAATGATTTACCAATTACTGAGACTGAACTGGCCTCATTCCAAGCCTATGTAGTGTAGCAGTTTGGAACTTGGCCTCTAAAAAAATGCAAGATTTGGGTTTGAAACTTACAGCACTTGCTAGCTGTAAGATCTTAGGCAAGTGACAACTTCTTCAAGCCTCAGATTCCTCTTGTGAAAAGCATGTCATTCAGGATTGTTGTGAGAAAATGATGAGAAAAAGATTAAGGTAGGTAAAGAGCATGGCCGAGATTAGCTATCTTTATTGTTGTCATTGCTATTTTAAAGCACTGTGTATTTTCTATATGAACAATTACTGAGCTGGGCCCACAATTCAGCTGGTACCCACTCGTTTTATTGAAGTTACTTATATCAAAATTAGGCCAAGTCCTCTGATTTAGTCTGCAGGATAACCAGACCTGAATCAAATCAGAAATGCAAAAGGCAATGAGTTTTCTGGGGCATCCATCCCAAAGCATCCAGTCCCAGTGGAAGGATGTTCAAGTTCAAAGTAATGAATTTACATCATCAAGAATCAAGGGATTTGTGACAAGAATAGCTTAAATAGCTTTGGAATACAATATATTATTCCTGTAACAGATTAATATTGATTCCAGCCATTGCTCAAGGTAATTTAAAAACAACAACCATGTGCTAAGTGCACAAACAAAATAAGGAATTTAAGTGTGTATAAAGAACTAAGGGTAAGAGTTATGATATTAGGTAATTCTTAATTAGGAGTATATGCACGCAGGGCATCAAGAGTTCACAGAAAACCATGTAAAACACTTGGAGGTGTTTTTGCCAAAAAGTGACACATAAATTTTAAAATATCATCATCCTCCAAAATAGCCTACAGTTTTCCATGACAATCAACTGATCCCTACTGGACATTTCTAAAGGGACTAAACATGAGCACTGCAATAAGTCGGATGTTTTCGTTTTAAACATGATCATCATATTGTACACTTGATACTTATGCTGAGAGCTCAGATCTTCCCTTTCCTCGTATAATTTTCATCTAAGTATTTCTTAGATGCTTAGATCATTCTTAATGGAAATTATGCCTTTACCCTCTATGGACACATGGAAACCTGGTTAATTGCACTGACTTGATTACAACAGTCGGTGAATTTTCCCATTTCTTTCCACAGCAATAAATGCTTAAGATATTTTTGTCACCTAGTAGGTAATTGTTTTTGATTGTAATCATTTTCTAAAAGAGGGATTACAGGCAAAAATTATTTTATGATTCTGCCCATCAAATTCAGTTCCTATACTCTGAAAAGATGTTTCTTTTCTTGTTAGTATAGAAACTGGACGTTCTAGTGAAGTTTGAAACAAACCTGTAGCATGAATAGCTATCACTCAAATCCTAGGGCAACTGCAATTGAACATTAGCTTTGCAAAACAGCCGTCTCTTTCAGACTAGGTAAGCTCATCAGAATGGCATACCTTTTAACCAATGGTGCATGAGTTGAGGGGGTAGCTACTCCCCAAATCTAAATATCTAAAAATTAAAAAAAAATTATTTTAAAGGTACCTTGTTTGTTAACTGTTGTACCCTATAAACCCTTTTTAAATTTTTATTTTCTTGGCCAAAATAAGGGGTCTTGCCAATGATAATTGCTAGTACAGTCTCTTTAAGTGTTAGGATGAGTACCTAATTCCAATGGCTCCTATTCCCATGTATTATACCTGTCAAAATTATTTACACTCTACTGAGTCAGCTGCTGAAAATACAGTCCATGCTTCCATTTGAAAGCATAAAGCTAAGTGCTGAGTTAGAAAAAGTTTACCCTCTGTCCTAGGTCAAATCAGTGAGGAGAGGAAGTAAGGAACGGATTCAAGTCAGGCTCCTTGCTTCCAACACTGCGCATGACTCAGTCTTAGGGTGTTCTTAACCCCAACACAGAAACGATGGGGAGTGGGAGAAAGGAGTAGAAAAGGGGGGACTGGACAAGGTGCACACGGGAAAGATCAGCCATCTCCTCCCAGTACACACAAAACCTCCTCTCATTCCTAGAGAGAGTTCTTGTCAAGGACAATTAAAGTGTCTCTGAGAGTTAGCTCCTGAATGACAGCGGACTCTGCGAGGGTTTCCTCCTGTCCTCTCCAGACCGTGGTGAAATCTCTGTGCGGGGCAGGGGTGCCGGGCACTCTTTGAGGGGCACGGCCCAGACAGAGATCTGCAATTTCAAAAATGCGATAAAGCCCCAGCCCGGCAGCCCCGGGAGGCCAGCAGCTGCCGGTGACCGCTGATGAAGTGGCTTCGTAAGGAGGTGGGCAGATTGATTCCAGCTGCTGCGCGGGGCAGGGCAGCGGCCGAGGAATGCGCAGCCCGGCTGAGGGCTGGGGCAAGATGCTGCAGCAGCTTCCCGACCAAGGGCAAGGGCAAACAGCTCCGTTTGCAGTCTTGGCCTCAAGAAGGAAGAAATCCATTGTTCCATCTGACAGGGAATCTCAAGGCGGGCTGGCCCAGAAAGTGGCATGTGGATGGTGTCATCTTAGAAGTGGAGCGTCACTCAGGAAATCCGAAAGCTGCCCCCAAAGGCGTCTGTTCAGAAGGGGCCCACAGTTCCTAAGAGTTCCCGAGGCGAATCCTTTCTGTTTTCCTCCTGCACCCAGTCCCAGCTCCAGGCCCTCTCTTAATAGCTCTTAAAGGCTGCCCAACTTCCTCCCCACCCCACCCCCACACAACTGCTGAAATCAATACGCAAGGGAAACAGACAAGGAAGGGGTGCACTGAAAGAGTGGGGGACACTGAGGGTCCTGGATTAGATGGAGACCGACAACAGGACATGCTCTTTAGAAGTGCTGCCACTGAGTCGGACAGTTAAGGGGAGGGGACTAATTTAGGGGTCCCTTGAGCCCCAAACCCAGACACCAAGTGATCTAAGAAGAGGGAAGGGGTAAGAGGTAGGCGGGCATGAAGGCACGCCTAATGGAATATTCAATATCCTGCAAAATGCACTTTGGGCCATGCACTTCCAGAGACTAAAAGCCAGTAATGGGCTTTGGAGTCTGCACTTCCTCTCCCTAATGTCCAGAGGCGCTTTAATGCTGCAGCCAATCGATCAGCCTTCTCCGGTGAAGGCGGCGAGTGGAGTGCAAAAGCTTCCTACTTGTGGCCACAATCAGCCGGGCCGTCTGCACACCACGAACAAGCGACAACAGAACTTTGCACGGGCAGGTTTTGGCTCCTTGAGTTCCCAACAAGAGGAAAGGAAGGAGCCTGGAGGCGCCTGGAGAAATACCACCCCACCCCCTTCACGCTATCTTTTCCAGGGAGAGACTCCAAGAGCAGGCAGACCAGGAAAGGGCATAATCCACCTCGCACCGGGCCGACCAGTAGCCCCAAGCCCGCTCAGGTGCAGGGTCACCTAGCCGCCTCCATACCCAGACCAGCCAAACCAAGATGTGGCCCTTCGGAAAGCGACACAAAGCAAAGAAACATCCAGAAAGTGGGGTTTCTTTGCAGTTTCTTGCTGACATCACAGATGCCTGGAAAGTGACCCTGTGAATAAACCCCCCACCCCCCATCCCCTCCCGGAGGCCGAATCCCCGAAGCCCCCAGAAGTCACTGCCCCGCCTTTGCGCCCTCCCCCTCGGGCTTGGGCTCTGGGGACGTGCAGTCCCTAAACTGAACCCCACCCTGTCCAGTCGGTCGCCCCTCCCCAGGCGGCTCCAGTAGCCCCACTGAGCATGCCCCCGCGGCCTGGGTCTCGGGTCGCCTCGGGGGAAGCTGTCCCGGCCCCAGGATGGTCAGCGGCAGGTCCCAGGGTGGGTGCCCCCACCGCGGCGCGCAAAGGAAAGACAGCCCGACTGCAGCCGGGCGCGGAGGGACCGAGTTCGGGGCGCGGAAAAACTTTCCGTGGTCCTCCTCCCCACCCCCACCCCCACGCCGCCGGGGCGCGTCTCCCGGAGGAGCTCGCCTTTCCCAGCCCAGCGGAGACCAGCGCAGCACGTGATGGGCAGGAATAAAAATAAACACTTCCCATTCCCGGGCGGCGGGGCCACCCCCACTCGGGGCGCAGGAGCGCAGCCCGGCGCGGACCAGCCCCCGCCGCTGCAGCCGGGCCCCGGCCCCGGAGCCTCCACCCGGGACGGCCTCCGGGCCCCCCACCCCGGGGCGGTGGCCTCCGCTCCGGCCGCCGCGCCCCGCGCCTACCTCTCGGATTTGGTGAACTTCCGGAACGCCTGTCGGAGGTCGTGGAAGGACCTGTAGGTTTGAGGCTCCGCCGAGATGCCCTGCGCCCGGGTGGTCCGCGGGCCGATGTGGGTGGAGGGCACGGGCAGCACCGACTGGCATTTGTGGAGCTTCCTCTTGAGCTCCTGAATTTCCTCCTCCTTCTCTGACAGCCGCTTCTCCAGCTCCTTGATCCGCTCCTCCTTGAGCATGAGGATCTTGGCAAAGTCTTCCTCCAGCTCGCTCATTTTCCCCCCCCGGAGCCCCCTGCACAAAACTTTTTCCTGGGGCGGTCGCGGTGGCTGCGCCGACGGCCGGGCGAGGCGAGCGCGGAGCGAGGGAGTGAATGGGCGCCGAGTACTCGCGCGCAGCCCGGCGCTGCCCCTACAGCCGCGCCAGGAGCCGCCGTCTTCGATCCACTTCTGCTGAATGGACTGAAAGCCCCGCACCGAGGGCAGGATGAGAAGTCTAAAGGCGAGGGCGAGGAGAGGCAGAGTGCTAATCCCCAGCCTCCCCGGGGAATCGGTGATTATCTTTCATTGAGAAACCAATTAGAGCTGCCCTTCCTCCCCGGAGACCCCCTCCCTCGTCCCGCTTCCCAATCACTCCGTGAGAACACCACGCGCCACCCCACCGAGAGCCTGGTTTCTGGCTGGGAGGGCTGGACCAGAGAGCCTGATCTCACCCCATCACACAATAATCACTCCATGCTATATGGTACCAAAGGAAGGGGTGGGAGGGGGTGGGGGGGGTAGGGGGAGAGCTTTATGCCACTTGATCCTTGAAATAGCAACAATTACCATGTGATCTGACAGATGACGCAGCGCTTGTAACTGGAGCCTAAAGACTGTGTGTGTGTGTGTGTGTGTGTGTGTGTGTGTGTGTGTGTGTGTGTTCATAAATATTAAACTGCCTTTAGACAATAACCTGCATAAATCTATCTTTGCTTTCACCTTTTTCTCCCCTTCTGCGCTGGATGATAAGGGAGGGTGTGTGTGTGCGTGTTTCTTACTGTGAAGTCCTGTAGCTATGACCCCCACTAATAAGAATGACAGGGCAATAGCAGTTCCAGGTTTTTTTCAGCCCAAAATTTTACTGGAAATAGTGAACTAAGATTGTTGGTGGGGAAGTTGGATGAATATACATATGGTCATGAGCCAAATGTTTACAAGAAAAGAGAAAGGCCATGAGCTAGTTGTAAGTTTCTTAGAATCTGGATTTTATTTTATCTGCTGCAGTTAAAAGTTGTATATAGAGCATCCCAATTACATCACAGCATCGCCATGGCTGTGAAGTACTGGCTCCAGTGCTAAATGCTGGCTCACTCTACCAGCTCCGGGTTGGGGGGAGGGGGAAGGGGGGGACAGGGGAGTTGCTTCTGTAATCCAGATTTCTCCCTCACTTGTGCATCTGTCACCTCACCCTATATCCTAGTAATGAGGTGTTTCTATCCATTTGAGCCTGACTATTTGCTAATTCCCACACTTTCTATTTTTCATATGAATATGTCATAGGGAGCGTTTTTCATAACATCAGTCAGCGTTTAAGAGTTTGGGAATGTGGGAGGAGCATTTCTTCAGGTCATGATCAACAAATTAGTACATTCTTTTAAGAAAAAAAAAATAGATCCAAACTAAGATACCAAATAACTCTCTCTGAAATAGTAACTTTTCTTAAAAAGACAGATCAATGTATGATCACTGACTACTTATAAAGAAAATCTTCCTGCCTTGTCTGAAACACCTCAGTAGAGTAAAAGCAGGTTTATAAATAAATTCCAAATATATATTTTATTCTGGGGATTTGTTACTTACTGTTAGTTTTACTCCTCTGGTTATTTTAAATTAAAAACATTTCAAACCACATCTGAATTTCTTCATCGCACCAGATGCTGAAGACTGGCTTTGTGTACGGGCCATTTGAGAAAGGACTCCTGTCTTGTTGATAGTTACTATTCTGTTGCTTCTATCTATGAACAGTTTAACCTGCTTTAGTCTTTTTAGGAATACTCAAATGAATTGACATTTTAAAATAATACATTAGGAAAACACTTTCATCACATTCAATAATCTAGGCATAGGTTCAACTTTATTTATGGAAGAGATATAAATAGATTTTAAATGATGTTTAGACAGGTTTTTTTTCCAAGTCTTACACTGTCTTAAATGAAGATATTATTAAAGTATGTTTCTCATACTTATTTAAAAAAGAAACATTTAGAGCAAGATTTCACACACGGATATCAAACCCTAAATTTATCCATATCTTCCAAAATTAATCTTTTTTTGAATAAGTCCGTTTTGGCTTCAGTAATGTTAACAACTATGACAGTAAATCTTGCCCATTGGCTTACGAAATAAAGCACAAGAAACACTTGAGAAAAGATGGCTTGGTAGAAGAATAAACCTTGAAGTATGTAAACTCCTAGCATTTTAGAGCGGAAAGAAACTTCGAAGATGATCTAACCCAACATGCTTACACTATAAAGGAGAAAAAATGAGATACTGAAAGGTAAAGTCCAAGATCACCCAAGGGCAGAATCCAAGGTTGCCCATACAGGGTATTTTCCCCACCGCGTGGCTCCTAGCCAGAAACCTGAAAATCTAGGAATTCCAAGATTCTGACAATCTAGCATTCCAAGGAGTGACTTTACCTCCTTGTATGTTGATTTTAAGTCTGCAACAGTGAGTTTCAGCTGTCAAAACCAAAGTATTTATGAGTCCTCGGTGGTGTGTGTGTGTGTGTGTGTGTGTGTGTGTGTGTGTGTGTGTGTGTGTGTTTTCCTTAAAGGAGAAGGTCGCCATCTAGTGCCCTTGGAGAAATTCGCTAAATAAAAATCCTAATCACAAAGAAATGAGGTAATGTCCTTAAATACCTGTAAGTCTTTTCCTGTTCCATATTTGAGAGACATAAAAAAAATATGCACAATTTTGTGTCACAGCAAAACATTCTTAACGATGAGAAAACTTAAATCTTTTAGCCCCTGGATAATGACGACAGTGATGGTAAACATTTACTGAGTGTTTAATATGTGCCAGCACAGGGCTAAATCCTTTATGTGACTAAATCATTTTAATACCCACAGTGACGCTATAAAGTAAATATTATTATTCATTCCCATTTTACAGATGGAGAAATTTATGCTTAGCAAGATTAGGTAACTTTTAAAAGTGTCCAGGTTTGACCCAGGCTGTCTTAATCCCCCTTGTAGCACTGCTTCTATCTGAAATGCATTCCAATGTCCCCTTCTCTGTCAGCCCAGGACACGCAAACTAAATGCTCTTTGTTAATGAGGACACACTAAATGTAAATTTCCATATAAACCCAGATCGGTTGCTAAGACTCTGGCTTCTCAATAACAAATATCTTTCCGAAGGTGCTTTCCATATAATACTGTTTTATTGTGATAATAATACATTTCATATATAATTCAATTTTTTAAAAATGTACGTGTAGCTTCAGGTGTTATGATGGTGCTTTGCCTCTACCCCGTCCCCCCACCCCCCAAAAAGGAACACTTTTTAAAGAACCTGAAATCTTACAGATGTGAGTAGGGGATTGCTGCTCTTTAATCCAGGCCAGTGTCATAAAAAACATTTTTTAAGATAATAAAACTGACTAAAAGTCAGTCTGCTTTTATTATTGCCATATGCCAGGATTCTAAACAATGCAGTGGTCAGACACTCCTCGCCCCAAAAGAATTTTATTGGTCTCAGTTCAAGCAGTTGCTGCATTTACGGTTGAGCAGGTAGACCCCTCCCGTCACCCTACTTCTGGGACAAAACTGACGTTAGTGCATGTTACAAGGATCCAGAGCAAAAACAAAAATTAAAACATCATCTGCAGATGGGCAGGGAGGAAAGATTTAAACTATCTATCTGTTTCCAATAACTTAGATGCAAACATTTTCTTACAAAAATGACAGTAAGTGTGGAAAACAGTATGCAATACATTTTCCATCAAGGGATGCAATTGTGAAAAAAGAGTACTGGACTTGGAAGCAAAAGATGTATAATTATGTCTCAAATCTGTTACTTCCCTGGCTGTGTACTCTTGGGCAAATCCCTAAACTTCTCTAGTATTCACCTTCCTTATCTGTAAAATGGGGAGTGGGAGTCACCCAGGGTCTAATTCGTCTTCTTACTGTCAATGATTCTATAGAATTCCGCTTCCCCTGTGACTCACATGTTGAAATTGTCAGTCTCTTCTTACAGATAAGACTCATTGATGAACTTCAGATGAGTTTAAAATGTTGAGTTAAGATGGAGTCTGGTTGGTTCTATAAAGATTATAGTGTACTTTCGGATTAATAGAAGCTTGGAGCATTTTCAGTTAATTCGACATCATACTAGATGTGGCCTGCACATTGCTGCCTAGATCATATTCTTGTGACCACAAAGTGTGGTCACACCTTGGGCAAGGTAAAGCTCTAAGTCCTGAGATACACCCATGTCTATGTTAACCACCATGAACATGGCAAGTGAAATTAAAGTTGCCTTAATTAAACTTCAGAATGAGTCTGTTTCCATTTACTTAAGTTATTTAATCAATCAGATTTATGTATTTTCTAAAATATGCCCCCAAAAGTAAAACACACATAAATGATTTTTCTATTAGTGTAACTGGAGTTCTTTGTCATGATGCAGCAAGATCATTGCCTTTTATAATGTTTTTTATAATGTTTTTGTGATCTCTATCTACAGGTTTGGGAAAAAAGGTTCTTCCCAGAAACTCTAAAAAATAAAATAAGAGATGATAGCACTTAAATATTGAAGAAACCAAATTCTGCAGTATCTGAAGAACCTTTGATGTGGAATCCGGAGACAGAGATGCTATGAGATGTCGCAAAATATCCTACCTCACGGAACGGAGCCTCACTTTTCCCAAACAGAAAATGTAGATATGAATATTAAATTCTCTTACACCTGGGTCTTTAAGTCTAAAACGAAGTAAGATGAAAACAAGATGTTATTTAAATGTGACCCTACATAAATAAATGTAAATAAAATGGCTATGCCCCCCCCCCTCCCCAGCTTTGATTCTTGACAGAAAAGTAGCCCAGCAGGGGGCAGAGTGGACAGTCTTGGTGGTGGTGGTGGTGGTAATATTCATGCACACACACCTCCAGTTATTCAAACACCAGTCAATGCACTGCTGTGAAATGATTTTGCAGGTGTAATTAAAGTCCCAAGTGAGTCTGAGACTTTAAGATAAAAGCCATCTGTGGACTTTCAAGATAAAATCATCAGGGGAACTTTTACAAGGGAGTGGTCTCTATGTGGAGACCAGGATGTTAAGTCTGAGAGGAATCTGACTTGAGGGAGATTCCCTATTGCTGCATTTGAGAACAGAAAAACAGAAGGGGCCACATGACAAGAAATGCAGGTGGAATGTAGGTGCTGCAAGGAGCCGCTAACAGCCAGCAATGCAAGAGGGACCTCCATCCTACAACCATAAGAACTGAGTCTTGTTACAACCATGAGGGAGTGAAAGAGGACCCTGAGCTCCTGATGAGAAGACAGCTTGATTGACATCTTGACTTCAACCTTATATGACCTTGACAGAGGGTCCAGCCATGCTGTGCCCAGACTTATTCCCAGAACTGTGAGATAACAAATAAGTGTAGTTTTAAGGCTCTAAGTTTGTGATAATTTGTTAGACAACCTGATAAAACTAATGAATTATTCAACTACCATTTTAAAAAGTGTTCATTGCCCTGGCTGCTATCTCGCAGTGGTTAGACTCATGCACCAAAGTGTCAGGGGTCAGGGGTTGGATTCCTGGTCAAGGGCATATACCTGGGTTGCAGCTTTAATCCCAGCCCCACTTGGATCAACCAATCGACGTGTCTCTCTCTCACATTGCTGTTTTTCTTTCTTTCTCTCTCCCTCCCTCCCTCTAAAAAAAACAATGGGAAAAATATCCTCGGGTGAAGATTAACAAAACAAACAAACAAAAAATGTCCATTAAAATACCAGAAATATTTTACCACTCTCAGAGCCTGACTTTAGAAGAGTCATTTTTAGTGAAACTGGGTTAGTGCCGTTCAAATGTATACTTGGAGACATAAAAAGTTGTTATAAATTGCTTAAAGCAAGCACACTGATGACAGTTAAAATAGTCTTCTAAGCATGGAAAACTCTCTTCCATAAAAGATACATATATTTAAAGTGTATCTTAATATGATTGAAATATAAATCCTCCTGACCATAGGTTCTAGGGAGGATTAGAACCATTCATGAGTTTAAATTACTACAGAATAGAAATGGTACTGTAGTTTACCTGGTGTGGTGAACTAGCTGTGTGACCTTGGGCAAAGTAGGTCATCTGCTGAGCCTGAGGTTTCTCATCTGCAAAATAGCAATTCTTTTGTCATATTATGTGGTTTTGATAACGTGTTTGGCTCTGGGAATACATTTAAATAGTCTTGGAATTTTATTCATTAATTGGATATTTCCACAGTCACCCATGGAAATGAAGTGTCCCTATATCCCACTGTCTTGCAGATTCAGGAAATAATCAAATATTTGAGAAGCGGGGTGGGGAAGGAACACAAATCCTCTTCTGAGTTCAGCTTTTTATTTGATTTGACTTGAGTTTGGGGGTTGATTTTTAATGTGAGAGAAACTGGACTCATCTATTTGGAACATCTTTTTATAAATTAATATAAAATTTTGAAAATAGATACAAGGAATTCAAAGAACACAAGAGGATTTACGATGCCAGGTAAGTCTCCCTCTCATCCCCATTCCCCAGTTACCCAGGCCCATTTTGTGGAGCCAACCATTCATAGTACCATTAATTGTGTAAGCCTCATTAAATATTATAGTCATATATAACCATATCTATGTACAAATACACATTTTCACACAAATTTGACACAAAAGACTTAATATCTGGTTTGGCTGTCAACCTATTCCCTGACTCAGTGCTATGATTTCCTGACTCCCAGACCATTAGTCCAATGTAACGTGATATAAGTGTTCCCTTTTGTGCTAAAATGCTTAGTAACAAGGAGGCAAGACTGCATTTAAAGAGCCTGTGCCCTCCTTTATAAACATTGTCTACAGTTCTTCTTTAAAAAATGTGGCATTTGTTGTTTTAGTGAATATTTCAATAACTTCACAATGGTCTGATGGTTCGAGAGACGCTGAACATCATCACCAATGTGTGTGTTTTTGAGGGTATGATAAGATCATCTCTGGTCCTAATTCGCACCACCTGCTTTCTGGTGATAGACACATTCATCTGTGTGTATCTCAGGTTACTTCACATTTACAGTTCCCACGTAAAACAGCCAACAAACCACTCCTAGGCAGAAGCAGCTCTGTTGGGACAGTCCCTCAACCCTATTTATCACGATGTTTTTGGTCTCTAATCAAGACTGCATCGTTAGCTCAATAGTTCATTTACTATCTCTGATTCAATGAGGACGCATTCATTTGGAAATTATTTTCTCAAAATGTCTAGTCATGTATTAGAAAAACAAATTATAGCTTGTGTTTGTATCTGTAAAAAAGTAGTTCCACTGAACCTCCGGTATTCCAAGAGGAATGAAAACTCCCATAGTTACAGGTAACATCTAGTGCCATCCTGATTCCATTTTCCCATCCATGTTACACAGGGCTCCATTTTAGCAGCCCTAATAAAACTGGGCAGGTGGAAGAAATACTCAAAACTTTCCCACAATAATTTTAAATAATTGCATTAGTTACAATGAAAAGTCTATCTTTGCACTGAAAAGAGCTTTGGCTCAGCAGAATTCTTGCCTTTCCACAGCATCCCTTTCAGGCACCAGCAGTCTGCAGAGAGCAAAGAGGCGGCAGAAAGACAGAGGATATTGAACTAAGAAGACACAGTACCCTCCACCCTTCATTCAAGACTTCATCTAATAATGGGAGGTCATTTTACAATGCACCAGCAAGCAGACATTACTCAGACTGTGGCTAAAATCATCAGTAAGAAACTCTGCCAGGAATGCCTTCGTGTAACATGAGGTGGTGTTGGAGTGAGTGTGTGTGTGTGTGTGTGTGTGTGTGTGTGTGTGTGTTTCTGTCACAGTACTTTCCTTCTAAATCATTTTCTCTAGTTGGGGAATGCACTTAATAAAAACAAGCTCTTCCTTTAAATAAGTCTCCATTCTAAACATTTGGATATTTTAATTGTAAGAACAGAAATGGAGTGATATTAAGAACAAATGAGACTGAGTCTTATGCTATGTGAAATAATCCAGTCAGACAAAGTACCATATTATTTCACTTATATGTGGGGTCTAATAAACAAAATAAACTAACAAAAAAAAATGGAAACAAACTCATACATACAGGGAACAGATTGACAGCTGTCAGAGGGGAGGGGTTTGGGGGTCTGGGTGAAAAAGGTGAAGGGATTAAGAAAGAAATTAAACCTCATAGACACAGACAATAGTATGGTGATTACCATAGGGAAAGGGGGTGGGAGGAGGTAGAAGAAGGTAAAGCGGGATAAATAGTGATTGAGGGAGACTTGACTTGGGGTGGTGAACATACAATGCAATATACAGATGATGTATTATAGAATTGTACACCTGAAACCTATGTAATTTTATTAACCAGTGTCACCTCAATAAATTCATTTTTAAAAATATGAAATGCCACAGGTGGGCATTGGACTGTAGCACATTGTTATCAATCAGGTGGGTATGACACTCTATGGCATCATGATCAATCAGGAGCAACAACATCCTCCCCTCCATGGCCACACTGATTTACCTTTGGTGCAAATGTCAAATTAGCATTCTAGGAAAGATGCAGGAGAACAGCCATTTACATCAGGAATCTTTTTTAGTAAGATATTTTGGATCTGGTATTCTTCCTTTGAAAGGAAAATTAAAAATAAATGTTTGTGCAACCTGAGCAGATGTACTAGGTTTCATTCATTCAACAAATATTTTTGCTTACTTTTCTATAGGTTCCAGGCACTCTTCTACACACTGAGAGGGTCTGTGTGTGTGTGTGTGTGTGTGTGTGTGTGTGTGAGAGAGAGAGATAAAGTTGCTTAGAATTAAGCTAAAATTACCAAACAACCAATTTGATGTGTCCACTTTGTTGAAACCAAAGGATTAATTTGCCAAATTAAAGAATTAGTTGATTTTTTATAGTTTCTTATTTACCAAAACATTATTTAAGGAGAGATCTTTTTGAATAGCATATGTACTAGTATCATCCCTTTGAATGGATTATTCTATGAACATGTCCTTGAAAGCCATACGTATTTGTTTGGTCAGGGTATCACAAGCTGGTGTGGTTCCTCACTTCTCGGCCATTCTTGTCTAATAGAGTTTCAAATAACTGAATTGGGAACTCCAGTCATCATACTGCGCCTTATGCTTTCTTTGATTTCAAGTTAATTATAAAAGAACAGAACCAACGAAGAATTAATGAGTCATTCACACTGAACTTAAACCTGAGATTTATCATTCAATGACTAGATGTGACATTTAATATTTCCTCAAACTCCATTCAGAAAAATGGAACAATGTTATCAAGCATAGCCTAAACCTGTTTCTCATTTCCTTAAGCTATCCTTTTAAAGATTTTTTTAAACAGTATTTCCGGTTCTATATTTTCTAAACATTTGATTGATGCTGAAATGATATTCAATATGTGGTATGTAATCTTCCTACCACAAATAAACACTTTTATTTTAAATCAAAATGAATAACACATGATATCCACAGAGATTTGATAAAGACATCTTTTTGTCATCATTGATGGAAAAAAAAGTAGAGGTTATTTAATCAGTTAGTGTTTTTGGTAATGTAGCTTCAGATTTAATAACATAGCTTAGCAGATGGTACTTGAAACTTTTGATTATTTAGTAGTGAGAAAAGGTATATGACTCCTCTGAAAATTAGAGTTTAGATTGTATTTGCAATCAGTTCCAGTTAAAGCGAAATAAATATAGAACCAATTATAAAAATGTCCATAATGGGAAATTTAATACATCAGTGAGTGCTTGGTTTTATAGCTATAGATGGTCTAACTTTTAAAGTAAAATAAAATATTCTGTCATGTTTGATTATTACTATTATAATATTAATATAGTATCTGTATACTCATTGGACACTTGGAAGGCTTCATACTAAGTTCCTTATACACATTAAATTAGTATATACTTAGAGTTCCTCAAATGTTATTCCCTTAGCTCTGGTGACATTGGGCAAGTTCTATATCCTCTTAATCTCAATTTCTTGATGTGTAAACTGGGGATAATAGTAGCACTTTCATCATTGGGTGATTATTAAAATTATATGTTAGTAGTGATACTATTAAGAACAATAGTTTGGCATAGTATTTAATTTAAATAATAATATTTAATGTTCCCATCTAATTTCTAAGTAAAACCATTGTTTTATAGTAAGGCTTTTCTGAAAAATTATCTGAATACTATAAGCATATCATTTCATTACTATGCATTATCATTTTAAATCTGTGTTTCTATGGTAGTTTAGTACAAGAGTCCCCATAAAAATTCTGTTCCCAGATCCATGCCTTTGGGAAATCTCCCATGTACTCGGGGCTTAACCGTGTGACTTGCTTTGGCCAATGGGACAACAGCAAATGTGACACAGACTGAGACTTGAGTAGTTCTCAACCCTCTCTGGCTGCTCCTGGGAACACTGTGACTGTCACCATGAGAAGGAGCCCAGTCTAGCCTGCTTGATGATAAGTGGGACATGACCTGGTTACCTCCACTGTCCCTGCCAACAGCCAGACATGTGAGTGAGATCATCAGCCCTCGCTGATGGCAAATATGCATGAGCATAGCCAACAGAACCAGGAAAAGAGGCCCTTCCCAGAAGAACTGAGTCCAAAATGCTGACCCACAGAATCATGAAGGAATCAAATGATTGTTGCTTTAAGCCACTCATTGTGTGGTGGTTACACAGAAAAGTTAACTGATACAGTCCCCCTGAGCAGCATACATAAGGATAAAAAAATCATAACTCAGAAGGTCGCTAAGTTCTAAATTCATACTTCTAACTGAAAATACTGACATTTTAATAAAACATTGCCAATACCAATGAGTAATTCAACTAATAAACTGAAACCAGTCCATTTGGTTTTACATGGTAAACAATGGACTATGGGATGATATGGAAAGGTAGGATCCTCCTCGCCACACAACAATGGAAGACAAACTTGACCTTCTGTACTAACTCCAATCAAATAAATGATGGTGACTTTCAGTGTTGTGTTTAGAGATTCTGAGACCATGTCTAGTTTCATAGGGGGTGGGAAGTGCATGCTGGTCATGCCTTTGCAAGTCTTGCCGCACTTGAACTATGGGTGTGCATAAAAGAGACTCATTATATACTTGCATTGACCATCTCTCTTCAGAGCTCACAGTTCAGGCTTTTTTTTTTCCCACTTATTGGCACCTTCTTAAATGATTTGGTTCAGGTTGTAAAGCTATCGTGCAAATATGCTGTATAATTGTCCTCACTGGAAAGACAGACTTTGTTTTGAAGAATGCAACCAAGGATATGCTGAAGCAGTGTACTGGCTCTCCCGCCCCTGCCCCCACCAATCTAATTCCACTAGAACAGCTGGACAGGCCACTGCAAAAGCAATGGTTATCGTCACAAGAATTAAAACCAGGGAGAAGGTTCCTGATGAAGCTTGCTGATTTCTGTTTGTTCTCTCAGAACACATTGCCTGGGAGATGTTTACACACTCACCAGGGCGCCAATGCAAGAGAATGAGCACGAGAGAGAACTGAAGAAACACAAAATGAAACCTGGCCTGTTTATCTTGGATCTCTTAGGTTGGACAGTCTGTTCAATGCTTCTCTGTCTCTGGCTCTATTTTTATTCATCAGTTTATGTTGTTCATTATATTCCACAAATGAGTGAGATCTTGTGATATTTATCTTTCTCTGACTGGCTTATTTCACTTAGCATAATGCTCTCCAGGTCTATCCATGCTGTTGCTAATGGTAAGAGTTCTTTCTTTTTTACAGCAGTGTAGTATTCCATTGTATAGATGTACTACTATTTTTTAATTCACTCATCTGCTGATGGGCAGTTAGGCTAATGTAAACTGTGCTGCTATGAACATAAGGGTGCATATATTCTGATTGGTGTTTATGATTTCTTGGGATATATTCCATACTGTTTTCCACAGTGGCTGCACCAGTCTGCATTCCCACCAGCAGTGCATGAGGGTTCCTTTTTCTCCACATCCTCGCCAGCACTTGCCCCTTGTTGATTTGTTGATGATGGACATTCTGACAGGTGTGAGATGGAATATCATTGTCGTTTTGATTTGCATCTCTCGTATGATTAGTAACTTTGAGCATGTTTTCATATACCTATTGGCATTTTGTATGTCCACTTTTGAAAAGTGTCTATTTAAGTCCTTTGCCCATTTTTTGATTGGATTGTTTATCTTCCTTTTATTAAGATGTATGAGTTCTCTATAAATTTTGGAGATTAGGGCCTTTTCAGACATAACATTGACAAATATGTTCTCCCAAGCAGTGGGCTTTCATGTTGTTTTGTTGATGGTTTCTTTTGCTGTGCAGGAGCTTTTTATTTTGATGTGATCCCATTTGTTTATTTTCTCCTTGGTTTCCATTGCCGTAGGAGCTGTATCGGTAAAGATATTGCTAGGTCATATGTCTAATATTTTGCTGCCTATGGATTCTTCTAAGATTTTTATGGTTTCCTGTCTTATATTTAAGTCCTTTATCCATTTTGAGTTTATTTTTGTGTACGGTGTAAGTTGATGGTCTAGTTTCATTTTTTGCATGTATCTGTCCAATTTTCCCAACACCATTTATTGAAGAGACTCTTACCATTCACAACAGGATGGACGTGGAGAGCACTATGTTATGCGAAATAAGCCAGTTGGAGAAATATAAATATCACATGATCTCACTCATTTATGGAATATAATGAATAACATAAACTAATGAACAAAAATAGATCCAGAGACAGAGAAACATCCAACTTCAGCAGGAAGACGAGGCGTGGGGGGAGGGGGAGAGATGTAAGAGATCAACCAAAGAACTTGAATGCATGCATATAAGCATAACCAATGGACACAGACACTAGGGGGCATGTACTGGGGGTTGGGGTGGCCAGGGAGAGGTTAATGGGGGGGAAAGGAGACATATGTAATACTATATGTAATACTTGAAACAATAAAGTTTTTTTAAAGGAAAAGAAAAAAACGTTTTTAAGTAGCGGTGCTATCCAATAGAATTTTCTGCAATGATAGAAAAGTTTGTGTGCCATCTAATGTGGCAGCTACCAACTCAGACACAT